TCCCCCCAAGGTGCTGATTTGGTTCTTGTATTGTACTGAATGTGAAACTCAATGCCTCACTGTTTTCTATCACAGCAGCCGGATGTTTTGGAGACATTTAACCGTGGAGCAATGGTGGGGCTGCTGGTGGTTGCCGTGGCTATCGCTATGGTGATGGTCATCAGCTTGTTGCTAGTTCGCCGTAAGCCTTATGGAACCATCAGTCATGGCATAGTGGAGGTGAGAGTTTGTCTGAGAGGATCATTACTCACATTTGCGTGTTTGTATTTGAAGCAGCACATCCAAGAAACAGGGTCAAACCCAGACTCAAAATGGCTGCTGGCTGATGTTTATGGTTTCTAATGTTGTAGCATAGTTCAGTTACACCATGACCCATTATATTTACTATAACACGAGGACGTAACAACCCCTGAAGCAGTTTCCTGCTGCTATCTGTTTTGCTATCTAGTCGTTTGACATCTAATCTGATATTTTGATTTGATAGGGGAAAAAAGCATAACAGGAAAAGTCAAGTCATGAAACAGAATTTAATATTTAATTAAAAAGTTATACATACATGTACATATACAGTGGGGAAAATAATTCTTTGATCCCCTACTGATTTTGTAAGTTTGCCCACTTACAAAGAAATTAAGGGTCTATAATTTTTATGGTAGGTTTATTTTAACGGATAGAGAGAATATCAAGCAAAAAATCCAGAAAAAAAAAACACTGTTCAAAGGTTATAAATTGATTTGCATTTCAGTGAGTCAAATAAGTATTTGATCCCCAAGCAAAACTTGGTGGAGAAACTCTTGTTGGCAAGCACAGAGGTAAGACGTGTCTTGTAGTTGGTCACCAGGTTTGCACACATCTCAGGAGGGATTTTGTTCCACTCCTCTTTAAAGATTCTCTCTAAATCCTTAAGGTTTCTTGGCAACTCAAAGTTTCAGCTCACTCCACAGATTTTCTATAGAATTAAGGTCTGGGGACTGGCTAGGCCACTCCATGACCTTATTGTGCTTCTTTTTGAGCCACTTCTTTGTTGCCTTGGCGGTATTTTTGGTAATTGTCATGCTGGAAGACCCATCATCCATGACCCATCTTCAGTGTTCTGGCTGAGAGAAGGAGGTTCTCATCCAGAATTTTACGGTGCATGGCCCCGTCCATCGGTCCTTCAATGCGGTGAAGTCATCCTGTACCCATAGCAGAGAAACAGCCCCAAAGCATAATGTTTCCACCTCCATGCTTGACTGTAGGGATGGTGTTCTTGGGGTCATAGTCAGCATTTCTCTCCCTCCAAACACAGCAAGTCGAGTTGATGCCAAAGAGTTCAATTTTGTTCTCATGTGACAACAGCACTTTCTCCCAAGCCTTCTCTGAATCATTTAGATGTTCAGACGGGCCTGTACATGTGCCTTCTTGAGCTGGAGGACCTTG